CAATTTGGTATGTCCATATGTATATTCTTTTCTTTTTTAGATAGCCGTCACTTCCCCTCCCCCTCCACACCCAACATAAACATCCTAGCTAGGCTGGTGATTTAGAAAACAGGTTCAGGGATTTCTGATTTACTAAGGATATAAAAATGACTCTGTAATCAGTAACTACTTATGAAAAGTGTCCTTTAATGACTTTTTAAAAAATAATTATTTTATTTACCTTTATTTATTTATTTATAATTTGACCAGAAAAGGATAGAGTGAGAGAGAGAGGGAAAGTGGGAAGGCAAGCTGCCAGGTCTAGGACTCGAACCATGGTCGGCCATGTGGGAATCCAGTGCCCTTAAACCATCACCCCACCTGCTGGCCCCATCTTTTAATAACTTAATTCTAAACATTTTGAAGTGAATTTTTACCATCGCATTGAATGACTCTATTAAGTTGAAGGAAAAAGAATTTTCCTACCTGCTGAGGAAAAACGCGGGTGCGTGAACACAAATCGCGGCTGCCTTCTAAATGAGTCGGGTTCTACACCTGGAAACACCCTTGCTGGTTTGGCCGGCTCGTGGCAATCCACAAGGCGGGAGACAGAAGAGCGAAACAAGTGTTCACAGAAGGACTTGAACACGAGCAACTGAGAGGAGGCCTCCTGGTAGGAAAGTGAACAGTACCTCTGACCACTTGCGGAAATGCGATCTCCGGGAAAAGGAAGGAGCAGGTCACTGGGTATCTCAGGGCGGTTCTGTCCCCCTACCTGCTCTGGAGATGACGGAGCGGGCCCCTTGGAGACTCCACATGGCCGCTCTCACTCCTAAGCCAAGGCGGAGATCAGAACCAGGTCCCCACCCCAAGGACGAGTGCTGGGTTATTACCTCACCTACCCACACCCGGAGACCTGTCGTGGCAGGGCAAGCCCAACCATACCTGCTCCTCCACCCGCCTGCTCTTCCTGATTCTCCAATACAGCAGGCAGGATCACTTTCCCGTGGGGACCGCCTCCACGCAACCATTGCCCATTTTCATGCGCTCTGTTCTATAAATTGTCTTTCTTCAATTCATTATAGGTTCTACTTTAGGACTCCTCTTCTTAAAATACCACTCAGATGGCTTCACTGCCCCCTGGAAGATTTTTGGCAGAGCTTTTTCTCTAATAAAACCCATACCCTGGGTCCGGCAGGTGGCAGGGTGGTTAAGGGCACTGGACTCCTACATGGCCGACCACAGTTTGAGTCCTGGACCTGACAGCTTGCTTTCTCACTCTCTCTCTCTCTCCCTCTCTGGTCAAATTTAAATAAATACATAACGTTAAATACTTCTTTAAACAAAAAGAATAATAAAACTCATGCCTCATAGCAAAGCAATCCAGAGTTCATAGTGTTGATGAATAAGCAACTCTGGAATCTCCCACCTTACATTCTCCAGTGTCCTCCCTACTGTTTTACTCATGCTGTTCTCCGCATATATATTTTTTTTCTAGTTTTTTTTTTTTTTTCCCATAGGATGTGTGCACTCACTGTAGTGAGAGAGACAATGTTTTTTTAAGGACGAACCCCCCCCCCCCAGGGGGTGGCCATGCCACAATCTCTTCTCCATTCTCTTCCTGGGGTTTTGGGTATGCACACACATGCATTCGGTGTGATTTTTCAAGCTGCCAGGTCTAGGACTTGAACTGCAGTCGGCAATGTGGGAATGCAGCACTTCAACCACCGCACCACCGCCCTGCCCCTGTATATTTCAATGCTCATGTTGTCGATGGAATCTTCCTACCTACACTTTAAGTATGATTTTCCCCAAGAAGTCTTCAAATACCCTCCAAATGCAGACTTCTTTTTATTTGCTATAGGGTGTGTGCACTTGCCAGAGACGAAGACAGAGGGACCGCGAGAAACCTCCACCCAGGAGGGAGAGCCTACTGCAATCCCTTCTTGTCTCCTCTCGGGATTTTGGGCACGCAGGTCCAGGATCTCGCAGTTGGTTACGTGGGATCCTGCCACCTCGACCACCGCACCACCTGCGGGTCCCCAAGGGAGAGTAAATGGCTGGTCCTGGGAATCTGAGGCCAGGTCTGTCTAGGTTAGTCTCTCACCAACCCAAAACGGGCCAAGTGCCTTGGCCTTTTGAAAGGCCACGATCCGTCACCTTGAGGGGAGGGGATCATCTATTTTCTCTCCCTGGTGTATGAGTTCCTCAAAGGTGGGTTCTCTCAGGAGCCATTTTTTAAAGTCTCAAAGCAGTTTGAACAAGACTTAAGTGTAGCCTAAAGGAACTGAAGAAATGGCCAGTTATTGTTTTAGTTTGGGAACAGGGTGCCTGAGAGCGAACTCACCCCGGTGAGATGGCCCCGCTGCAATCCCGTCTCCGTTCTTTCGGGAACTGGGGCATGCACACACGTGCAGCTGGCTTCCTCAAGCTGGCGGGCCAGGACTCGAACCATGTCGCTGGCCATGTGGACATCCACTCACTCTCACACCTGCACCACCGGCTGTCCCCCAAATGGCCCTTGTTTTTAGGTATCAGTGCTTTATAGAGCGTGGACAGGAAGGCAGAGCAGCCGTCAGGAGCACAGGCCATCGTTCTGGAGGAGGGCTCACCAGGCTGCTTGTCAAGTCTCAGGCACTTCCTCTGCAAAAGCTGACGTTAGCAACCCCTATCTAACAGTGGTGCCTGTGCAAAACACCTCAACATGGATGTGACAAATGCTGAAGAGATGTGGTCAGTCCTCTGTATTCACGGACGGTCCGCTGCAGTACTTTAAGCCTGAACTACTGCTATGACTTACGGGGTACTTAGTACAGTCGTTCCTGAAAACTGGCCTTTTGGGAGTCACTTCTTGAATGTGGAGAAGTCCCTGTAATTTCGTTGGGCCTCCCTTTTCTCACTTCCACGTGGCGGTACGTGCTGGGGAGACACGCCGAGGAAACGTACATAGAAGCACTGTGTCAACTACTGTGAAGAATTACTTTTATTATGTATTGTTATTATTTTTTGCTATAGGTTATGGGAACTCCTGGAGACAAAGAAGGAAGAGGGTAAGTGAGAAAGCGTTCCCTAAGAGGTGATGGCCACACCGCAATCCCTTCTCCTCCATTGTCCTCTCAGGACTTTGGGCATGTGCAAACACATCTAGTTTTTAGGCTGCCAGGTCCAGCCTGAACTGCACAGTCAGCCATGCAGAATCCAGCTGCCTCTTTTAGAGACTTTTTTATAGGCATGTGCGCTCATCAGAGAGACAGACAGAAAGCGAGAAATCACCCCCTGGGAGGGGAATGGCCACACCATGATCCCATCTCCTCCATTCTCCTCTTGGGACTTTGGGCATGCATGCACATGCACCCAGTCTAAATCTGAAGCCACTGGGTCCAGGACTCAAACCATGGTCTACTACGTGGGAGCCCAGCAACGTGACCATTACGCCATCTGCTGGTTCCAGGATCCAGCTTCTTAAAGCACCATGCTACTGGCTGGCTCCATTATTACAGACTTAAACTCAAGAGACAAAAAGCCAAAAGTGTTTGCCATTTTAAAAATAATTATTTATTTAATTTTATTTATTTATTATTATTACTATTTAATTTGCTATAGGGCATATGTATTCGCCAGAGAGAGAAAGACAGAGAGGGAGGGAAAGTGAGAAAGCAAGCTGCCAGGTCTGGGACGTGAATGTGGTTGGCCATGTGGGAGTCCAGCTGGCCCCAGTGCTTAACATTTTCAATCTACTTCTAGCACATTCTACGAAGGCCTTAAAAATAAATCTCCCTCTAGCATGCCTGTAGTCCCAGTTACTTGGGAAGTTGAGGCAGGAGGATCAAGAGTTTGAGGACTAGGCCAGCAGGTGGTATGGAGGTTAAGGCAGCTGGATCCCACATGGCCGACTGCGTGGTTCGAGTTCTAGACCCGTGGCTTGAAAATCCCACTATGTGTACACATGTATGCCCAATATCCCAAGGGGAGAGTGGATAAGGGACTGCGGTGTGGCCATCCCTCCAAGGGAGTGATTTGTCATTTTCCCTCCCTCTGTCCTTTTCTGGCAAGCACATGTGCCCTATAGCAAAAAAAAAAAAAGAAAGAAAAGAAAAAGAAAGAAAAAAAGGTTTGAGGTCAGCCTAGGTAACATAAAAGACCCTGACTCTAAAAAAATTTCTAAATAAACTAAAATAGAAATAATAAATCTGTACCTTCACATATGTGTTCTTCTCTTTATTGTCTATGGAATGGTAAATCTGATTACTCAAGTTCTCAAAACAGAAAATCCAATCTGGAATGGCTCTACTTGGCACATCTGTTGGCTTGAGAGCAGGGTAACATTATCTGAGACCGATCATTTGAGACCATCTAAATGCTTACTTTCACGGTCTTGGTTAAGTATAAAGATGCCAGGGATTCCACAGAAAGACAAAAGCCAGTTTTGGCTCTAACTTATATATCTGACAACTGAAAACGGCTTTTCAATGTCTACTTTTTTAGTTTTAATTATCAATTATCTTAGAGTTCAAGTCTAGAAAATTATTTTTATATAAACACTAGATGCCCTCCATTTTTTTAAAACAATTACTTTAAGACTGTTCTTTCTATATTTAAGGCTGACTCCACTGAAAGACCAAAATTTGTAAACTTTTTTTAAAGAGAGAGATTTTTGCTACAGGGCACATGTGCTCACCAGAGAGACAAAGACAGAAAGTGAGAAATCACCCCCCCGCCCCGGGGGAATGGCCATACCACAATCCCTTCTCCTCCATTCTTCTCTTGGGATCTTGGGCACGCACGCACACACGCCCGGCATGAGTTTTAAGCCACCAGGTCCAGTACTGAGCCGGGTGGACTATGTGGGTGTCCAGCGATGTAACCGTCACGCCATCTGCTGGTCCCCCAAATCTGGAACCTCTGGATCATTTCCTTCGCCACCACTAATTTATGCAACCACATAATTTACTCCCAAACTTAAAGGTTACGTACAGTTATATATGTAACTGTGAATCATGTTTTGTATTCAAAGGCTTAGATTATGTATATGAAAACTAATTTATTAAACTTCTGTACACAAAGATGGACATACCTGTATAGCAAGCTTTCATGAAGAATGAAATTACAAAAAAGTCAAAGTGTTATTAAAATTGAAGCCTGTAAATCACTTACAAAAATACCCCAAAAGGGATAAAGCTGCTCATCCCTGATTTTTCTCATTTGGTTGTCAGAGTTGCAATGTGACTTTAAAATGGTTAGAACTTTTTCTTTTAAAAAGCAATATATTAAACTTATATACAGGATAATTAGCAAAATGTAGAAAGGGAAAAACAATATACAAAAGACAGATAAAAACCATCACTCTCGACAGATACTCACAATCCAAAAATAGTATAAACCTCAACAAGCCCCCGTGAGCCCACCTCATACCAAACACGTCCCCCCCGTCTTTGTCAATGGGAACAAAATAGCCAAGTAGTGAGCTCCGTCCTTCGATTCTTTGAAACGGGCCTGAGTCTCGAACGCAGCGAAACCCTGGGTAGATTTGTCAACGGGAGGGCCGGACAGGAGGCCGGCGCTATGTGCCCACTCAGGCTAGCCAGCAGAACACGGTCCCGACCCGAACGGCTCTTGCTGCCACGTGGGCAGCTACTCGGAGGTCTTTCTGTTTTTCTGCTGGTTTCGGGGTGAATTCTTTAACAAGTTCCTGATCCTGAGGTACATCCCCGTGGACTCAGCCATGTTCTCGAATTCGAAGGGCATTATCCCGGTGGCGAACTTGCTCATGTCGGGGATGGGGCTGTGAGTTTTAGCGGCCGCTGAGGGGCCGGTGTCCGCCTGCAGGGGCTTCTGGCTGCTTCCATTCCTCGGGTCGCAGTCGGGCCCGGCCCCGGCACTGCCGTTGTTGAGGGCGCTGTGGGCGTCTACGCAAGGGGACTCGTCGCCGACCGTCTGACAAGGCAGTGTGGCCTCCACGTCCGGACTCGGGGAGCGCCCGTCTCCGGGCTCCTCCGTGCAGGTGTCCGGTACCACAGGCTCGGCCAGCGCCTGCTTCTCAGGTGCTTTACTCTCGGGGACAGGCAGGTCTAGGTCATGTGGACACGGGGAGGCGGCGACGGAGTTCCCCGTCAAAGGCGTGTCTGCGGGAATGTCGGAGTCGCTGTTTGCACTCTCCGCCTGCTCCAGGGCCGCCCAAATCCGCCTCTGCTGCTCTTCCAGCTCTTCCAGCGTCAGCGAGTCCTCATCCATGGCTGCAGAGGGTGTCCTGGTCTGTGGGGAGTCACTGGGAGTCAGCGGCGGGGTGCCCTTGGGGAGTGGGGGCGTGAAGACAGGTGGGGGCGTCCCCCGAGGGAGGGGAGGTGGAGTCCCAGGAGGTAACGGTGGTTGGAACCGAAAAGCTTCACTGCTCTGAGAGCCATGGGGTACCTCCACGTCTGAAAGGAGAGAGTGAAGAGGTTCCTTAGACATCGTCACAGTTTTACTAAAGCTTCCTTTTTTGGGAGAGGATTTTGCTATAGGGCATGTGCTGGCCAGAAATAGAGAGAGAGAGAGAGAGATAGAAAGCAAGAAATCATCCCCAGGGGGGATGGTCACGCCGCAATCCCTTCTCCTCCATTCTCCTCTCGGGATCTTGGGCACGCACGCACGAGTGCCCGGCATAAGTTTAAGTCCAGGCCTAGAACCGCAGTCAACTACATGGGAGCCCAGCAACATAGCCATTACGCCAACTGCTGGTCCCACTAAAAATTTATTTATTTATTATTACTTTTCAGTTTGATCATAGACAGAAAGAGAGGGAAAGTGAGAAAGCAAGCTACCAGGTCCAGGACTTGAACCGTCATCGGCCATGTAGGAGTCCAGCACCTTTAACCACCATGCCACCTACCAGCCCCAGTTTTACTAAAATTTTATTTTTATTTATTACTATTGTTATTTTATGTATGTATTTATTATGTACTTATTTAATTCCATTTGTTATTATTATTTTTCAATCTGACCAGACAGAAAAAGAGACAGAAAGAGAAGGGAAGCGAGAAAGCAAGCAACCAGGTCTGGGACTCGAACCACAGTCAGCCACGTGGGAATCCAGCACCTTTAACCACCACACCACGTGCCGGACCTGACTATTATTATTTTAAATTGGACCAGAGGGAAACAGAGACAGAGAAAGTAAGAAAGCAAGCTGCCAGGTCTGGGACTCGAACCACAGTCAGCCATGCTGGAGTCCAGTACCTTCAACGCCATGCCACCTGCTGGCCTAGTTTACCCAAATGCTAAAATGTGTTATTTGAACTTGGGAATACCCAGAAATTCAGTGGCCCAAAATAACTAATGCCCTCAATCCACCTGGAAAGCTCAACTGCAGGGAGAGCCGTCTGCCCCCTGGCCAGGAACGGCAAACCCCTGGAGATGGCTGCTCGCTGTGTACGTCGGTTTATTTATTTATTTTAATTTGAACAGAAAGAGACACACACGAAGAGAGGAAAGTGAGAAAGCAAGCTGCCAGGTCCGGGACTCGAACCATGGTCAGCCACACAGGAGTGTCAGCACCTCAACCACCATGTCACCTGCTGGTCTCTGAACGTTGGTTTAGACGGAGCATCTGAGCAATGGCTGGAGACATTTACACTGTGCATGAAAACGAGGTTTCACCGCAGAGCATGGTAGAAGGTCAACTGGTGGGCCAGCCAATGGCCTCACGGTTAAGGCAGGTTCCACATGGCCAACTGTGTGGTTTGAATCCCAAACCTGGAGGCTCGGTAAAAACTCTGGGCATGTGTGCGTGTGACCTGAATCCTGGAATGAGGGAGAGAAGGGACTGCAATGTGACCATTCCTGAGGAGAAAGTGCCTTCTCCTTTCTGTCTCTCCCTAGCGAGTGCATCAGCCCTCTAGCCCAGCTTGGTTAGCAGGCCCACCTGGCTTCTCACAGGCAGGCCTGGACTCTGGGCTTGATAAGGTGACCCGTGACTCACCGTGTGCTCACCGCGATGCAGACCCAGGGGGGCTTCCTCACCCACCCTGAGACCCTGGCACTTAGCATACCAGTGGGGAGCACTGAGAACAGGAGGACGGACTCGGACAGCCCTGGAGAGGCTGTTGCCGGGGTCAGGAGAAGGGGCTTGAGCCTTGGGCCTCAGTGGACAGCCAGGCTTTCTGATTCTGGCACCTTGCAGAGGCACAAACGGACCCATCTTTTATGCCTGGTTTGGGCAAGGAAGATCTTGCCATCCGTCCTTTGTCCTTTTTTTCTTTTTAAATTTCTAAGCATTTTTATTTTAAGGATTATTTTACTTAACCTTATTTATTTTTAAATTTGACAAGGGAGGTACAGAGAGAGAGAGAGAAAGTGAGAAAGCAAGCCGCCAAGTCCAGGACTCGAACTGCAGTTGGCCATATGGGAGTCCTGAGCCCTTAACCACCATGGTACCTGCTGGCCCCACGTGGCTGCTCCTAAAGAGGCCAAAGGCTTGGGCAGGCAGGTGGCACGGGGGTTAAGGCAGCTGGATCCACATGGCTGGCTGTGCGGTGAGTCAGACCCTGCAACCAGAAAAATGCACCGGGTGCATATGCCCTAAGACCCCGAGAGGAGGCTGGAGGAGAACAGGGACTGCGGTGCGGCCATTCCTCCTGGGGGTGACTTCTCACTTTTCTTCCCTCCCCAGCTCTGGCAAGCTCGTGCCCCACAGCAAAACCCAAAATAAACCAAATAAAAAAGAGGCCTAGGGCTTGTAAACACCCAGTCACTTCTGCCCGAGGGCTGGGCCTGGAGGGCCTCTTGTGTGCAGGCAGGCGCGGCCTGACATGCCAGCAGAGCAAGCAAGCCTCCCTCACAGACACAGGATGAGGGTGACCTGAGAGCTCAGGCAGCGCTCAAGTGAGGCCCCAGGGAGGTGCCGCAGGCTGCGGGGCAGCATTCCTCAGGAGGCAAGGAGAATGAGTCATTCCAGCCCTTTTCCCCGAGGGGAAAATAATCTTTGCTCTGCCAAGATTGTGTCTGCAGTGCAGAGAACCAACAAGGCTCGAACCACATCAGGGCAAGTTCAACAAGCGCTAGACCTACTGCCCTAGATTCCATCTGGACCGAAAGCCAAGGAGTGCAGCAGCACTAGGCTGGGAGCTCAGGGCTCTGGCGGCAGGCTCAGAAGCGCTACCTTCCACCACCACCACAGCTCGGGATGGTGAGAGAGACAGACACAAGCCCTCCAGAAGGCCCCAGCCCAGGGCTGAGAATGCCACGCAGAAGCATGTGGACCTGGTGACAGGGGTGCCACCACGAACCCCAGACTCTGAGAGACAGCCGAGACACAGGCGCCTTTCTCACAGTACCCCACGTGCTTAAGGCAGTAACCCACTCCTTGGAGAGTTCATCCAACCGAAGTTCACAGACAGTGAGACAGGCAGCTGGTGGGCCCACAGCGACTTGGAGAGACGCAGCTGAGATTTCTGCCGTTACTCAGAAACTCTGAAGCTTGCCTGTTCTTTGTTTAAATTTATTCATTATCCCCTTCCATGAGCGAGTAGGAGCCAGAGAGATGCACAGACAGAACATCAACAGGGCTGATGCTGCGATCCAGCCCCGCGGTAGGCAGCCCGGGTCACAGCCACGAGTGTGCCCAGTGTACCCACACTCCAACGTGGAACCACACAAGAGCCAGCCTCATGGGCTGCATTGTGCGCTGGCCGGCCTCCGGGGAAAGGACTCTGTCTGGGGCAACTGCTTGAAGGTTTTGGGGAACTGTTTGTTTTCAAAATTTCCTGGGTCTGTGGCAAAAGCTATGCTCATCTCATGCTCTCCATGAACGCTTTGGCCACGTTAAAAGCGAGAAGGTGGGGCCAGCACGCAGTGCGGGGGTTAAGGCACTGGACTCCACAGGGCTGACTGCAGCTTAAGTCCCTGTCTCTCTCTCCCTCTGGTGAGCACACGTGCCTTCTAGCAAATTAAAAAATAATTAAAAAAAAAAATTAAATACAGAATTCTTTTAAAAAATAATTCTTTAAAAAAGAAAAAGAAAGATTGGTTGGGGCCAGCCTGTGGCATGGTAGTTGGGGTGGCTGGACCCCACATGGCCAACTCCTGGGCCTGGTGGTCTAAAAGACTGGATGTGTGGATGTGTGCTTGCATATGCCCAGAGACCCGCGAGGAGAATGGGGAGGGCGAACGGGGGAGGGACAGCCCGGGGTTATCCTCACCTACCCGCCCCCCTTCTCCTCCTCATCCTCTCTTGCACCTGCCCTACCGCAGCGACAATGACAAAGTGAGACTGGAGGCCCAAGGAAGGCTGCAAGTGCTCTAAGCCCGGGCACCCAGACTCCTGTGGCTGAGATCAAGCAGTTAAAAACTCGCTCATTACATACATGCACATATGCTAAAATCCAAAATCAGAGCCATCTCTGATCCCAAGCTTTTCAAATAAGGGACACTCAACCTGCTCTCACACTCCTCAAGCAGCTCCCTTTCTCAGGGCACTGGGGAAGAGACCAAGCCGTGCCCCTTGCTCAGGGCAACCAGACCGAGCGTGAGCCTACCCGAGTCGAGCTCCATGTCAGCAGGGGAGGCGGCCGCACTGCTGTCCTTCCGCTGCTTCTTTGGATCCTCAGGGCTGCACTGAGCTGAAGCCCTCTTGCTGCCAGACTTCACACCTGGCTGCAGGAGGAACACACCAAACAAGTTAGAGCGAACGGACCGAGAATTAAACGCCATCCCTTCCCTTAAATATGACGTAGACGGGTCAACAGGTGGACTGGTGGCTAAGGCACTGGATCCTACAGGGCTGACCGTGGTTTGAGCCCTGGACCTGGAAGTTTGAAAACCATGCCGGGTACGTGTGTGTGTGTGTGTGTGTGTGACCAAAATCCCGGGAGGATAATGGAGAAGGGACTGTGGCATGGCCATCCCCCTGGGGCAGCATTTCTCACTCTCCCTCTCTCTGTCTCTGTATCTCTTCAGTGAACATACATACCCTATGGTATGTATGAGAAAGAAAGACGGAGAAACTCCACATGGAGCTAAGTCTGGGTAATGTGCATTTAACCACTATTTCCCTTTTGATTTGTCAGATAACATGGCGTGCTTTATACACAAAGCAAGGGAAGACGGTAAGATGCTAGTAAGTTACAAAAATCTCACAGACACACGCAACGGATTTTTACAGACCACACTCTGAAACCCACTTACCGCTTGGAAGTTGGAAGTCAGGTAATTGGCAAACACATCCTTCTGCTGACATGCCTGCATTGGTATGGAACCAAACATCCTCCATTCCTAATGAGGAAAAGAAGGAAAAAATACACATATGAGGGAAATGGCATGCTCTGAGATTCTGCTCAAAGGACAGAAAGTGGAGGGTTCAAATTACACTGACTTCTCCTTTATTATAAATTAAGAAAAATATGGTGTGGCATGGTGGTTAAGGGAAATGGACTTCCACATGGCTGACCACGGTTTGAGTCTCGGACCTGGTAGCTTGCTTTCTCACCCTGCCCTCTCTCCCTTTTTTCCTCTCTGGTTGGATGAATAAATAAATAAATAAAGTTAAATAAAAGAACTCTTCTAAAAAAAAAGAAAAGAAAAACTTGGTGTACTGAAGGGGGAAAAATCTGCCTGGGAAACTTCAGGACCCAATACCAAAGGCACCTGACGGAGCTACGTGGCCCCAAACGGCTCTAACTCCTGCAGTCAGCAGCAATGGCACGGCCTCAGACAGCCCCTGTGGTTCTGGTCTCTCTCCCATCATGCACTGGCACTGCTAACAGGACTGCTCACAATTCATTTCTCCTAACACTTACACACATGAGTTAAAATCCTTATTTTTTTGTTTTGAAAGATAGGGTCTTGGGGCCAGCCTGTGAAGTGGTAGTTAAGGTGCTGAATCCCACATGGTTGACTGTATCGCCAAAGTCCTGGACCTGGCAGTTTGAAAAACACACCGGGCCCATGTGCACGCATGCCCAGAATCCTGAGAGAATGGAAGAGACAGGATTGTAGCATGTCTATCCTGGCTGAGAGGGAGGGTCATTTCTCACTTTCCCTGTCCATCTCTTCGGTGAATGCATGCTTCTTAGACCAAAAAAAAAGGGGGAGGAGGGAACACAAGGTCTTATTTTATTTATTTTTTGAGAGGTTTTTGCTATAGGGTGCTCGCCAGACAGAGACAGAGAGACAGAAAGCGAGAAATCACCCCCCAGGGGGGATGGCCACGCCGCAATCCCTTCTCCTCCATTCTCCTCTCGGGATCTTGGGCACGTACGCACACGCGCCCAGGGTGAGTTTAAGCCACCGGGTCTGGGACGCGAACCGTGGTCAACTACATGGGAGTCTAGCAACATAGCCATTACGCTAACTGCTGGTCCCACGAGGTCTTATTTTGTTGTAATGGGGACCTATGCACACATCCCTGAGCCCAGCTTTCAGGATGGGGGGCTGGGACTCAAACCTAGACCTCTTGTGACCTGGGCCTACTGAGTTCTCTCCTCTGTTTACACAGGGTGCTCATCTTCAAGGTTTTACGCCGCTCGTTCCTCTCATCCACAGCAGCACGTTATGCAGTGCACAGTAAGGGTCACTCTGTGCTCTCATGAACTTAGATTCCAAGCCCAAGTCAGTTAAGTCTAAGGCTGGGACTCAAAAGTGTCATTTCTACCGAGTATCCCCAAGGGACTCGGGGGGAGCCTGGTGTGTGGCCCTGCTTCCAGCAGCACTGAGAGCTGCACCAGGCCACGGAGCCACAGGGACTCATGCTGTCTGGCGCGAATTCGTGGCTTTGTATCTGTGCACTAGACTCAGTTCAGAGCCTTGGCTTCTTCCACCCCCCTGACTCCACGACCCCAGAATGCAATTTTCATTAAAACACCACCGCCATAGTTAATTGTTGAACCTCAAAACGT